AACTAATTTTACAATTTCCAGTTTCGTTTTGGCAGAATCTCTCAAATTTTAGGTAAATCATAGCCATTTCAGCCTTAATTCATAATTAAAAATTATGAACTTTAAAGTTAGTTTTTGTTGTTTTAAAATAACACATTTCAGACTTAATTTTGCACTTTTTTATCTCATTTTGACAAAGTATCTTAAATTTTTTGTGTTAAAAGCTCTAAATTTATAGAAATGAGAGATTTCAGACTAAATTTTGCAATTTTGTCTTGTTTTTGGCAAAACCTCTATTACATTTATCAGTGGATGAGCAAAAACATTTTCTGCTTATTTTTAGATGTTTCAGGTAATTCAGAGTTTATGAAACATGTTGTAAATGTCATTACTTGCTACACAAATAAAAGTCCTTTTTTCTCAAAATTATTTATGTTTGTTATATTAAATTTAATAATTTTTTCAGTGAGAAAAATTTTTCAATCGCTGTAAATAAGTAGAAACTAATCTTACTGTACGGTTTTACATCTTTCTTGGTAAATTTTTTCACATTTCAGGCCTAATTTTGCAATTTTCAGTCTCGTTTTGCCAGAATTTTTCATACTTATAAAATTTTAGGTGAATAATGACCATTTCAGTCTTAATTTTCTACTATGATTTTATGTTACTTCGCAAATTTAGCTTGTTTTTCAATAAAATAGATTTTAAATCTATCGAGATAAGCAAAAATTATGAATTTTAAAGTTGGTTTTGCAGTTTTTTTTTTATTTTGTTTTAACCAAATCTCTGGAATTTTGGGAGTTTCTCGATGAAAAACGTTCCTAGATTTATAGAAGTAACAAATTTTAGACTTAATTTTCTAAGTTTTATGTCTTGTTCTTGGCAAACTTTTTTACATTTATTGAATTTATAAAAAAACATGAAAATTACATTACTAATTACTTATATAAAATTACTTAAATTTTTCTTAGTGAGAAATCCTAAACTTTTTGTAATAAACAAAAACAAATTTTGGTTTAGTGTTGGTGTTGTTTCTGAAATTTATTTTGCGTTTCTGAAATCACGTTTTTTGCTGAAAAACGCTCTAAATTTCATATGGTTACAAACTTTTTGGCACAATTTCTCACATTTTGTGAGAGTGAATCGCTTCTAGATTCATAGAAAATAGCACATTTTTTATAATAATTAATTTTGCAATTTTTAGTTTCGTTTTCAAAATGTTTCTTACTTATCAAATTTCAGGTAAAAAATGGGCATTTCAGCCTTACTTTTCTACTATGATTTTATGTACTCTCGCAAATTTAGTTTGTTTTTCAAAAAAAATTGATTTTCAATCTATCGAGATAAGCAAAAATTATGAACTTTAAAGTTGGTTTTGCAGTTTTTTTTATAATTTTTTTTTTAACCAAATCTCTCAAATTTTGTGTTTCTTGATAAAAAGCGATCTTAGATTTATAAAAGTAATAAATTGTAAACTTAATCTTCTAATTTTTATGTCTCGTTCTTGGCAAAAACAAATTTTGGTTTAAATATTTCTGAAATTTATTTTGAGTTTTTTGTGGCAAAATAAGCTCTTAATTTAGCGAAATGGGCAAAAATTTTGTCAAAATCTCTGAAATTAAAATTATTTTCTGACTAAAACATTTTCTAAATCCATCGACATAAGCAAAAATAATTTCAGGACACACAATGAAATATTATCTAGTTTCTTACTGAAAAATGCTGTAAGCTTAATGAAATAACCGAAGGTAAAGCATTTCAGGCGTAATTCTATAATTTTCTGTCTTGTTTTAACAAAATCGTTGAAAATCCGTAAGTTTTTCACTGAAAACCGCTTTTCTACCGCTTTTCTGATCCAATTTTGCAATTCTAAACTCTGATTTAGTAAAATCACAAATTTTAAAAATTTTCCGGTGGAAAAACTCTTACAAATTATAAATAACATAGATCTAATTTAACAATGTTTGCAAAATCTTTCATATTTAGTTAGTTTCACAAATACATTGAATGCTACAAGCCAAAAAGAGACACTTTCGTAATTTTTTCTTTTTTTAGTGAGTTTTTCTTTGAAAAACATAAATTAATACATTTCAGTTTCGATTTTGGAATTTTTTGTCTCGTTTGGGCACAATTTTTCAAAATTGCTACAATTTTCGGTAAAAATACCCCAAACTCACCCAAATTTAGCAATTCTTACTTGAATTTGGTGAATTTTTCAGTACAAAATGCAAAAATTTCTATGATAGTAACGGTGGATGCGCCGGGTCTGTTTATGACTTTTACATCTGGAAACTGTATTAAACTGTCATCTAAAGATGTTGTAATCTCAAGTTTTGAGGTGGAAATCGTATTTTAACTGAAAAATCCCTGCATTCCGCATCATGTTTATTCGAAAACGAGTGAAAACGCTGAAAAATTAAAAATTAATTAACCGAAAACGACACCGGGAGTAACCAATTAAGTTTCAGCGTTATTGTTTCAGGCCTGAAATTCAAGCGGTTGTATTTAACCTAAATGTTGGAAACTTGGATCCATATCTCAGGCCGAAATCCGGTCAAACTTGTGCATAAACTAGCCAATGGGTGACTGAGGCCGTTAACGACTCGACTAAGTGGTTTCGCGGAAAACGCTTTGACTTTTCATTGTGTTGAGACGCTTCAACATTCAATTTCCGAGATACTTTGCCAAAATGAGATAAAAAATTGCAAAATTAGGTCTGAAATGTGTTATTGGAAAATGTTTTTTACCAAGAAATTCATTAGATTTACTAAATTTAAGCGATTTTGTTATAACTTTTCATTGTGTTGAGATGCTTCAACATTCAATTTCCGACGTTGAATTTGCATCAAGACGCTGTTCACATATTGGTTAGGGTGGCAATACGGCGATTTTCAAGTTTTGCTTTTTCCACAACTAGAAAATAGTGTACAGTTGACGAAATTTACTAAAATTCTATTTTTGAACGAATTTCAACGAAAATTGTATTACGATTTTAAATTGAACTAAACGAAAAAATGTATGTCGTGTTTATTGATGATTAAAAGCTCGCTTGGTATTAAAAGTCGGGCAAAAGCCCGCAACTACTTTATGATTTATAAAATAAAGCTCTACAAAGCTCGACGAAAATTGTTTCGTTTAATTGCATGTCATCACTTTGATTCCAAGAAAAAGTGCTGTTTTCATGAAAAAATAATAAATAAATTGTAATAAATATTTAAGATTCATGAAATTCTGATTTTTTCCCAATTATTGTTATCTTCATTCTAATTTAATTGTTTTTTTGATTGAAAATGCTCAAAACTTGTTGAAATTTATCAAAAACAGAGCGAAAATAACGCATTTGTCAAAATTTTCTCGAATGTAATGACTTTTTTAGTAAAACACTATCTAATCCTATCGAAATATGCAACAATGCATTTCAGAACTAATTTTGTAATTTTCTACTCTTGTGTGGTAATATTTTTTTAATTTAGTGAGTTTTATTTTTCAAATTTATTTAGTTTTGCAGTGAAAAATGCTTTAAACTTATCGAAATAAATGGGAATAAAACATTGCAAACTTACTTTTGTAGTTTTTTTTAACTTTTTTTTAAAAAAAATTCTCACATGTTTATTTCTCGGGAAAAAAGTTACTAAATTTAGAGAAATGATCGCATTTTGGAGCCAATTTTGCAATTTTTGGTACTGCTTTAACAACATTTTCAAGTTTAGTGCATTTCTTAATAAAACACTCTAAATTTATCAAAATGAGTAAAAATATAGCATTTCAGAACTAATCTTGTAATTTCTTGTCTTGTCGTAAATTTTCAGAAATTTAGTAAATTTCTAGGCAAAAATGCTCTTAATATCATGAAGAAAGAACGTATTTCAAAGCCAATTTTACAATTTTTGGCTTGTTTTGCAAAATCTTTAAAATTTATTTAGTTTCTTGATTAAAAAATTTTTTCAAACTTATCGAAATAAGTAAAAATAAAACCTTTTAGGCCAAATTTTGTAATTTTCTGCTTTATTCCGGGAAAATCTAAAATGTGATAAACTGTTTAAATTCAACAAAATATGTAATCGAAAATAGTGAATTTCAGAAGTAATTTTGAAATTCCCTATTCCGTTTTTATAAAATCACACGAATTTTGTGAGTTTTATGATAAAAATTGCATTTCAGACCAAATTTTGCAATTTCTTGCCTCATCGTTTATTAAGTTTAAGCAAAACTATTTTTAAATTCATCAAAATTATTGAAATTGAAATTCACAAGTAGTTTTGGTAAAATCTTACAAATTTTGAGAACTCTTTATCAAAAACACCCAAATTCATATTAAAATCGTATTCAAAACCTAATTTTGCAAATTTTTTTTTTCGTTTTAGAAAAAGTTTTAAAATTTATTTGGTTTTGCATTGAAATCTCTAAATCCACCAAAATAAATAAATAAAATAAAACATTTTAGACTTAATTTTCCAAATTTTTGCTCCATTTCTTGCTGAAAAATGCTCTAAAATTATAGAAATATTTGGCAAAATATTTTAAATTTTCGTTGAAAAACGCACATTAGTTTATTAAATAACACATTTTAGATATAATTTGAGACTTTTTATCCTCATTTTTGCCAAGTTTCTCGTAAAAACACTCATAGGTTCAAATTTGGCGACTTTAAGAAAATAAATAACTGTTTTTATAGTGTATTTTCAGTAAATTTTCCCAAAACTGTTTCCCTGTTGCGAAAATTAAAAACGTAAACGCATTCCAGAAGAAATTTTGAAATTGTCATTTTTTAATTCATTTATTTCTTATTGAAATTAGCGTTGAACAAACTAATTTCGCAAATTTTTACAATTCCACAACTCTCGAACCTATTTTTGTCGAAAACTTAAATATTTGTGATAAGAAACTCGCCAAGAAAAAGCACCAAATCTTCTCCAGCTCTCCACCCATTACTATTTCACACTTTAATTCTCTCCTTTCGCCTCCCACCCTAGTTTGCCCTTTATTCCATTATAATCTTCGCATAATTTTTCTTTTTTCAGTCATGTCGGAGTTTCAGCCGTGAAATGCCACTGCCAGTCGGGCTTCACCGGCGAAACCTGTCAAATTCCCTTCAGCGCGCTGAAACCCGCCGGTAAGTGAAAAAATTCGAATGCACTCCCTGTAGGAAAGCGACCGAATCATAATAGTTTGTTTGGAATTCTCGAACGATTATTCTGGGAGTTTGGGGTCCCTTGTCGGTGTTCTCCTCGAGTGAAATATTTAAAACACGACGATAGAAATCCGACAAGACACAAAGCATCGATCTGATAAGGAGAAACACAATGGTTGAGGATAGCGAAGCGCAAACTTTAAATAAGAAAGTAAATTAATTGCTTTGATGACCCAATTCGCAATTGGATTAATTTTCATTGTTATGAGTGACAATTGCTGTAATTTGTACGATTTTGTCGACTTTTTACGGTTTCTTTTCAGGATGTGACAACTGTGTTCAGGGCTGTGCGTTCGATGGAAAGCTGAAAAATGCCTGCAAATGCCCTGCAATCAACGGAACCAACGGTAAAACATTTTTTATTAAGCTAATTTTTGAGAAATATCTTGAAAATTATTTGTCGGGGATGAAAAATAAAAACAGATTTGGAATTTTTGAACAAATATGCGGAAAGTGAGTCAAAATTTGGGACACTTTTTTGAAAATTTCATATTGTTTAAAACACTTTTTTGATGAAAAAAAAATAAATAAATTGTAATAAATATTTCAGATTTATAAAATACAGATTTTTTCCCAATAATTTGCTGTCTTCATTCAAATTTAATTGTTTTTTCAGTGGAAAATGCTCGAAACTTGTTGAAATTTATCAAAAACAGAGTCAAAATAACGCAATTATAAAATTTTGAAAACTTCGTAACTTTTTCAGTAAAACACTAACTAAAACCATCGAAATAATCAAAAAAAGCATTTCAGAACTAATTTTGTAATTTTCTACTCTTGTGTGGCATTTTTTTTTATTTTGTGAGTTTTGTTTTTCAAGTTTGTTTAGTTTTGCAGTGAAAAATAAGACTTTTTCGACCTAATTGCGTAATTTTTTAATTTATTTAGTCAAAATCTAGACTTTATTAAGTTTCTCATTAAAACTCATCAAAATTATCGAAAATAGTAAATTTCAGAAATAATTTTGGATTCCCTAGCTAATTTTGGTAAAATCTCACAAATTTTGAGAGTTTTTTTGGTAAAAACGCTTTATAATTTGCAAAAATACCGCATTCAGACCAAATTTTGCAATTTTTTGCCTCATCTATTTGGGAAATTTTTTTAAATTTATTTAATTTTTGTAAGAAAAATGCTCTAAATCTTAGAAAATAAACAGTAATAAGACATTTTAGACTTAATTTGCTTAATATTTATCTTATTTTAACAGAATTTCCCAAAATTTGTGAGTTTCATGTTAAAAACGTTACTAAATTTTAATTTTTTTAATTAATTGCATGTCGTCACTTTGATTCCAAGAAAAAGTGCTTTTTTGATGAAAAAATAATAAATAAATTGTAATAAATATTTCAGATTCATAAAATTTTGACTTTTTCCTCAATTATTTGTTGTCTTCATTCAAATTTAATTGTTTTTTTTTTGTTGGAAAATGCTCAAAACTTGTTGAAATTTATCAAAAACGGAGTGAAAATAAAGCATTTATCAAATTTTGTAAATAAGCAAAAAAAGCATTTCAGAACTATTTTTGTAATCTTCTACAATTGTGTGGCATTTTTTTTTATTTTGTGAGTTTTGTTTTTCAAGTTTGTTTAGTTTTGCAGTGAAAAATACTTTAAACTTATTGAAATAAATTAGAATAAAACATTGCAAATTTACTTTTGTAGTTTTTTTTAACTTTTTTTTAACAAAATCTCTCAAATTTTATTTATTTCTCGGGAAGAAAGGTTACTAAATTTATAGAAAACATCGCATTTTGAAGCCAATTTTGCAATTTTTGGTACTGCTTTAACAACATTTTCAAGTTTAGTGCATTTCTTGATAAAACACTCTAAATTTATCAAAATGAGTAAAAATATTGCATTTCAGAGCTAATCTTGTAATTTCTTGTCTTGTCGTAATTTAGTAAATTTCTAGGTAAAATTGCTTATAATTTCATGAAAAAATAACGTTTTTAATTCACTTAGTTTCTTGTTTAAAAAAATGTTTTTTTAAACTTATGGAAAAATGAAAATAAGACTTTTTCGACCTAATTGCGTATTTTTTTACTTTATTTATTCAAAATCTAGACTTTATTAAGTTTCTCATTAAAACTGTTTAAACTCATCAAAATTATCGAAAATAGTAAATTTCAGAAATAATTTTGGATTTCCCTAGCTAATTTTGGTAAAATCTCACAAATTTTTTAGTAAAAACGCTTTATAATTTGCAAAAATACCGCATTTCAGACCAAATTTTGCAATTTTTTGCCTCATCGATTTGGAAAAATTTTTCAAATTTATTTAATTTTTGTAAGAAAAATGCTCTAAATCTTAGAAAATAAACAATAATAAGACATTTTAGACTTAATTTGCTTAATATTTATCTTATTTTAACAGAATTTCCCAAAATTTGTGAGTTTCATGTTAAAAATGTTACTAAATTTTAATTTTTTTAATGAATTGCATGTGGTCACTTTGATTCCAAGAAAAAGTGCTTTTTTGATGAAAAAATAATAAATAAATTGTAATAAATATTTCAGATTCATAAAATTTTGACTTTTTCCTCAATTATTTGTTGTCTTCATTCAAATTTAATTGTTTTTTTTTTGTTGGAAAATGCTCAAAACTTGTTGAAATTTATCAAAAACGGAGTGAAAATAAAGCATTTATCAAATTTTGTAAATAAGCAAAAAAAGCATTTCAGAACTATTTTTGTAATCTTCTACAATTGTGTGGCATTTTTTTTTATTTTGTGAGTTTTGTTTTTCAAGTTTGTTTAGTTTTGCAGTGAAAAATACTTTAAACTTATTGAAATAAATTAGAATAAAACATTGCAAATTTACTTTTGTAGTTTTTTTTAACTTTTTTTTAACAAAATCTCTCAAATTTTATTTATTTCTCGGGAAGAAAGGTTACTAAATTTATAGAAAACATCGCATTTTGGAGCCAATTTTGCAATTTTTGGTACTGCTTTAACAACATTTTCAAGTTTAGTGCATTTCTTGATAAAACACTATAAAATTATCAAAATGAGTAAAATTTCTTGTCTTGTTGTCGTACATTTTCAGGAATTTAGTAAATTTCTAGGTAAAAATGCTCATAATATTATGAAAAAAAGAGCCAGAGCCAATTTTACAATTTTTGGCTTGTTTTGCTAAATCTTTTAAATTTATTTAGTTCCTTGATTAAAAAAATGTTTAAAACTTATCGAAATAAGTGAAAATAAAACCTTTTAGATCCAATTTTGCAATTTTCTGCTTTATTCTGAAAAAATCTAAAATGTATTAAACTGTTCAAATTCAATAAAATATATAATCAAAAATAGTGAATTTCAGAGGTAATTTCGAAATTCCCTACTTAGTTTTAGTAAAATCTCACAAATTTTGTGAGTTTTTTTAGTGAAAATTGTATTTCAGACCAAATTTCGCAATTTTTTGCCTCATTGTTTTGAGAAAATTTTTCAAATTTAT